GGAAGAGGGAGGGGGAGGGAGGAGACAGTACTTTTTATGATTAATCCAAGGAGGATTCATGTTCTGATCATCCAACAACACTTGAAGACGCGCTGTTTTAGGGCGTCAAAAAAAAAGTTATTAAAAAAATTGAAGCATAACTTTGATATTAATACAGATTAAAAAGAATAGAAGCTTAACTCTTTTATTGATACAGATTAAAAAATTGTGTTTCCGTTTTGTGAAACTCAAAAAAGCAAACATAATATTATGAAATGTGCAAATTCGTGTTTCTGATTTGTGTTTATTTGATGGTTCGAAATGTTAGGCAGCATTGTCCTTGGTCTATTCGGTGTACTGCAGCCTGATCGGACATAATTATGTGTTCACCCCGTCCTTAAAGAGGTACTAGTGATTTCCACACTAGCGATTCCCCAGATTTCTCACCTCGACCCTGAGTCTCCGGATAATCTCCGGGCTGCAGTTGTCCAGATATAGCTTCTTGTTGAGCAGCAGGCACTCGGCGCCGTTACTGACCACACACATGCTGGGCTGGTGACAGAACAGGCACTGGGCCAGACCCTGAGAGGGGAGGGGGGCGTTGGGATTAATGAATAATTAATTAATTATCAGGCTAGCACCTTTAGAGGAGGTAGAGTTGTATTATCCAATTAATTAATTGATTAATTAATTATTATTTGTTGTTTGTTCATTCAAGTAATCGTTAAAGTAGAGTTGTATAATCCAGTTATTTGGTTAATTGGTAATCATTTGTCGTGTGTTAATTCAAGTAATTAGATCTATTAAAGCATGCTTGTATGTATTTACTTATGGATTGGTTTATGTATGTATTTACGTGTTATTTATCTATCTGTTTGTTTATTCATGGGGCTATTTCTGCACTAATCATTTAAAAATACTTTGTTTCTCGATAAACGAATGAATCTTAACACAAATAGATATCTACAATAACATACATTCTTCATTAGTTGCTTACAGAAGGGATTTTTTTCGTTTAAAAAACTCCACAAAGCTACTAATGAAAAGAACTTAAGTACATTGCCTGTAAGAAGCGACTTACAAAAACATCTCCCTTTGTGAGGGTCTGCACGTAGACAAACTGGGGGTTAAGGTCAGCCGGTGTCTTGATATGTGCCTGAGGATAGAGAGAAAAGAAGACGACAAGTATTGATGAAGCCCTATCTTAATGTCTCTTTCTTTCTCTCTTTTCTCTCCCCCTCCTGTCCCTTCCCCACTCCTCTCTCTCTCTCTCTCTCTCTCTCTCTCTCTCTCTCTCTCTCTCTCTCTCTCTCTCTCTCTCCC